AAAAACCTTCTACATCAACAGCTCCAACCGCGATGACATCATCTTCACCAACAATCTTTCCAACGACAACAACAATGATCCTGACGATGACATCCAAGATATCTGATACACTGTCTACATCATCAGCACCAACCTCGTATCATTTAAGGGGCGTAGAGCAGAGGTTCTGATTGGACATGATTTTTTGGTGACAACCTCGATCTCAGTCTGCAGTTCAGGAATGAAACCTCACCTTGGTTCTTAAATAGGACCCAGTAGTGGGGCTAGCTCGGATGGCACTTCGCCATGATGAGCGCTCTTTGCTATATATGGATAGTAACCCAGAGTACTCATCGCACTTTGTTTTTCCACTTCGCCGCTTGCCGCACACGCCAGGCTGAGTGGCACGTTCCTGCACGGTGAGCGACAAACTGTGAGTTTTCATCTGAAGGTTTTTTCCCGTCCCACGAGGAAAAACGTTATTTTTCAGGGCTGTTGAGGTAAGTACCCGAATCAAAGGGGAATCAAAGGAAGAGCCTGGGAAGGGAGGGACTCACTGGGCGGGAAGGCAAGGGTATGACGAGAATCGATTACTATTTAGAGTATGATGTTGAAATTTTATCTCTCTTTCTCTGGGCATTGAGTATGCTCTACGAGAGGTGGCGCTTGGATTCCGATTTGCTGTATAATTCTTTCGAGGACCGGCGAAGTAACGCACCAAGTAGAACGGTAGAGTAGTGTGCGGCGCCTGTAGTGCTGAAGATTCGGATGTGGGGAATTAGGTTAGGATCAGGCGCTAGAATAAGTCGGTTCAGGGGACTAGAAGCGGAGGCCAAGTAATTTATTCTTCTCATATCTTGCAAGCGGCGGTTATTTGGCTAAAATCCTCGGTCCTTATACCACCAAAAGCTCAGTCTCTTGATCATTGGGGACTGCGTGTTGTGATTCCCTCTAAACAAGAAAGACCTTTAGGCTACCGGGTTTCCTTCGATCCCCAATTGAGATTAGATTCGACCATCTCTTTGACGCCTCTTCGAGCCTCCTTTCGTCCATGGACGGCCCACAGAGGAGTCAGTCTGTTTGGTCGTTCACTAGTTATTAACAATGCCTGTTTCTCAACATTGTGGTACCATAGATCCATTTATCAAATGGATCTCTCTTCACTGCAGACAGTGCGCCATCTTGCCACACACTACTTACGGAAAGGGGAAATGAATGAAGACAATTATCTGCCAAAAGTGGCTTGGCAAGTTACCCAGCCCAAACGTAAAAGGGGTCTGGCTGTGCTGGAACCTGAAAGGCAGATTTCAGCTTTGTTAGCAAGATGGATCCCTTGAGCCATTTTGGAGGACTCTACTTCTGCCTGAAAGCACTTGGCAGAACCGGCTTTATTATCAATCTGGGGGTGGGAAAAATCAACACATGTTTGGCTGACAACTCTTCTCATGCCGTTTCTTAAGAAGAGAATGTCGCTCGACATATGGGGGGGGATACTCAAGGCGTGAAAGAAACTCCCACCAACATTGCAACTGCCACCGATGATTGCAGACAGGATTATCACCCAGCCATTGTTTTATAACCCGTGCATCTATTCACCTAATGGACAACCTCTGCAATGTTATGGACCTGGTGCCTGCAGGAACGCTTGGATGAGTCGGGGCATCGACACAATGGTGGACATCTGGGACATCACACAGGCTGACTGGAAACCTTATCATACGTTGGCGTCATTGTTATCTGGCCTATGCCATCAACAACAGCACCTTCATTTGATTCAGCAAGCTATTCATGTGGACTGGGTTAACATCCTAAGAGCATGTGTTGTTCCTACACCGCGAATGTGGTACAAGAGCCGAGAGATTTAGTTGGAAGATTGAAGATTATTCAGAGGTGACGCAAATCCCGAACTCATGTTGGGAAACGAAAGATGGGTCGTTTGGCTTGGGATCTGATCTGACATTGGCGCAGAATTCATTACCTTTGTCAATGGTTCCAAACTTGGTCCTCGATACGCGTCTTGGAATATGAGGATGGATACAGGCCTTTCAGTATTTCACAACCATCATATCTGTTGTCTATGGATCCTCGTAATTGGGCTTGGGAACACCCTTTGCAGAATAATAAAATGGTCCCGATACAACAATACTCTAGAAAATTGGGATATCAGCTTTCTACACAGCAAGTCGATGTTAATTGGCTTGTAGCCCGAAGGTGGCTGGCAATAGGTTGGGTTAAAGACTCGTTGATAAGACTTACCGAAGCATTGTCTATGTTTTGGAAAAATCTAATGGACTTGGTTGTAGTTAAGCATGCCAATACGCAAGACCCGTTTTCCAGCAGGTGAAGCTCCCCACCAATAGATGGAGCCTGTCCCGGATGCTAGTGGTATCTGCTCTTACTAGTATCACTTGCACTGCAGGGGGTGTTTTTTAAAAAAAAAAAAAAAAAAAAAAAAAAAAAAACATGCCAATTTCCTCTGCCTGATGATGCATTAGGTTGTGCCTGTGATGGTCTGGTGCCTCTACACGAACAACCAAAGCAAGATCGGAATGCGTGATATGCCCAGGAATTCGAATGGAGGATCTGCAACACTTTGTATTGCACTGCGATGTCTCCAGGCCTTTTTGGGAGTGGTGGCGACGAACGAATGTCCAAGTTCCTGGTAACAACTCAAGATGGACGGACCGTTTTCTACTACTCGGAACGGCAGCGAGAGATATGTCTCCCTCTCGACGATATGCATATGCAGAAGAGACACCGAGAGGAGTCATATTGTGGACTCTTTGGAATTCATGGACTAGGAGAGGGGAGAGGTTGACACCACCGATGGTTCGAGCTGAAATCAAATTTGCCCATGCCCAAACAAACTATTTTGGCTGACTGGGAGTATCGAGTTCAATGGAAAGGATACTCGTGGAAATCAATGCAGCATTTTAACAAATGTTGGACTGAGTTTTCGGGATTGTTCACGATTGAATGTTTGCCACAGCAACAACCCTGTCTATGCTTCTCAGGGTTTTTCTTGTAATATACATGGTTGTACAAAACTTGTGAAAGTGATCATAGTTCATGTCCCCTTTTGTTCCCTTTCGTTTTTGTTCAGTCCTTCTAGAGTGTCTAAATTTGTGTTCATAGTAGAGTCTATTATTCATACTTGCAACCGCACGAGCCGCACATTCACGCGGAGTTCCATGCGGGGGGTGCCTGTGCGGAATCGTGCAGGTTTTTTATTTTTATTATTATTATTTTATCTTTTTCTGGGAGGGGGAACGGGGGCCCGTATGACAGGAAGATGGGGATATGGCGAGGAGAGGGGGATATGGAGAGGAGGAGGAGGAGGTGGACGAGGAGGAGGAGGATGTGGACGAGGAGGACGAGGAGGATAGCGAGGACGACGAGGAGGAGTCATCGAGATGTGGGGAGGAGAAGAGATGGACGGAGGGAAAAGAGGACGGGCAGGAGGAGGAGGACGAGTGGGAGGAGGAGGAGACATGGACGGCGAGGAAGGGGAGGACACGAGGAGGCATGGAAGATGAGGAAGTACGAGGAGGAGGAGGAGACAAGGAGGATGAGGAAGAGCAGGAGGAGGACGAGTCGGAGGGGATGAAAAGGAGAAGGGAGGAGGAGACATGGAGGATGAGGAAGGGGAGCAGGAGCAACGTGAGGCAGTACTCCTGTAATTTTTTTTTTCATCTCGCTTATAATTTTGGCGGGTGGCCTCAAACGCACCATTTCGACCGCGGCCTTTTTTTTTCTGAGGGGGGTGATGGGTCGTTCCCCGCACACATCGTGCGCCACACGGGATCGGTTGGGCGCGGCGCCGCACGTAGGGAACCGCCCGCACGACGTGCGCTTGCAAGTATGCTATGGTTACATTTGGTTTTAGGGATTTGTTAGTTAATTGAAGGATTGAATTAAGATGAGAATAAGGAGTAGAATCTTGCCCCAGTCGTGGCCTGGGCTTTGCTTGGCCGGAGAGCCTTGCTCAGCCTTAGAGCTGCGGCGAACTTTGTGAGGGACGCCGGGCCCGATTCCCGGCACAGCTTTATAAATGTTGCTCCTTTCCCCCCCCCCCCCCCCAAAAAAAAAAAAAAGTCATCTGTATTAAAAAAAAAAAATTGCCGCCGTGCCGCCGTTGATATTTTCCATCAGCAGCACCCGGCCTCCGAATTTGAAGTCTGAGGCCCACGACCCCACATATGAGAAAGGTAGTGGCTCTAACAAAACAAAAAAACAGAAACCTGGCTCGGGTTACTGTTGGGGGTGATATGAGCATCCACCCATAGTAACCCTGCGCCATCCGCTCCTTCTTTTTTTATTGGAGTGGTAAAGAATTCAATGCAAATCATGCGACTGGCGACAAGATTCCACTGACTAGGATTCTGTGCTTCTGGTCGTCGAAGCTCTTAACGTACGGTCCAGAATGAAGAATTTAGGCAAGAGGGAGCTTGCTCTCTGTGCTTCTGGTCGTCGAAGCTCTTAACGTACGGTCCAGAATGGAGAATTTAGGCAAGAGGGAGCTTGCTCCAGGTAGTGTGGATTGAAGTCTTTGGATCCGGCCGAACTGGCAGATACCCAGGGCGTACCTCCCTACTCACAGTACTTTCCTACATGTATCTGACAGCAATTATGGCCACACCAGGATGCATCTGACTGCAATGGGGTCCAGAGTCCAGTTCAACAGCCTGGGTTGATGCTATAGGTATTGATATGGGCAGGCACCGCTAGCGTGAGTATACTCAAAAAACGGAAAAGAATGCTCCTGTCAGAGAGTAGAGGTAGACAGAGACCAGAATAATACTGTGTATCTGACCGCAATTATGGCCAGATCAGGATGCATCTGCCCGCAATGACGTCTAGAGCTCATTTCACCTAAACCGTTTTTTTCTTTTTTCGTTTTTTTCTTTTTTTTTTTCATTTCACTCATTTCACCTAAACCTAGTGTGAGTACACTCAAAAAAAAAAAAATGGAAAAGAAAGCACCTGTCAGACAGTAGGGGTAGACAGAGACCAGAATAATATCGCCCGGTTTGTAGTGCCCACAGGAGCGAAGATGGTATGGGATTGAGCGGCCTAGCTCACTTGGTAGGGCAGGCAAGTGGTATTCTGGAGGTCTTGGGTTCAATCCCCATCTTGCATATGTACCTTTGTGGGCAGGCTTAACACCCCCCACCTAGAGATAGCCCGTTCGTCCCCCTGAGTGGCATTGACCAGAGACTGCCGATGTTCATAGGGGGAGGGGACCGGAGGGGAGACACAGCGACTGGCCCATCGAGGAAGCTCGGTCCTGATGCTGCCGGCCCGGCTGACCCCTGGCCGGTATCGCCCACCTGCAGGTCGGGTGCAGCCCCCACATGTTCCCTCGATGGACGCTTGAATCTGGCAGGCTGCTACGGAGTTCCTTTAATACTCTAATGATCATGGTTACCAGCCCGTACGGACGGAGGCCACCGGGTCGACCTCCGTACATTTGGGTGTTTGAAGTCCCGTTTGAAACGGTATTCACCAGTTCGCAGTAGCAAATGCAGATCCCAGGGCTCGATCCCTAGTTCCCCATCTTACCTGTGTACAGTATCGATGACAACCCGTAGATTTGAACCTGCGACCTGTCGAAACGCCAGTGGTAGGTAGATTGTCGTAGGTCACAGCTTAGAAGGGAATCGAACTGTAGACCTGTAGGGTAGGAGTCTAGACAGTTCCGAAGTCGTAGCTGTAGTATGTCTGAAGGGTCAAGGTCGTAGCTGCTACTTACCTGAAAGGGCAAAGTCGTAGCTGCTACAGTACCGAAAGGCCAAAGTAGAAGTTTCTAGAACTGGCCTTTCGGAGTCAGCCCCTGTTTAGGCCGAGGCAAGTGGGCAAGTGGTGTAGGTCCACTACGTAGAGTCGGCAGTCCCAGGTAGCCCAGTCCGGTCCAGTCAAGCAAGTACCGTCTGGGACTGTGCACATCGTGGGCCAAGGGATACAGGGCAGACCAACGCCGCACAGAAGTATAAATCAMGAGGCTGCGTCCAGCCATTCATTCATTCCTGCGGATGCCATGCGGAAGCGCTGCCTCAGCAGCTTGTGCGAGGAGGTCTGCAATGCGCCCGAAGACGAAGAGGGCAGTGAAGTGTAGTGTAGCGATAGGATAGTGGCAGCCATAGCTGCCATAGCTATAGTAGCGTGTGTGTGTGTGTGTGTTGCGTGTAGAGTGTTGCGTGTGGGACATCCAGGGTGATCCAGAGTGCGAACAGTGAGTTGTGTGGGCGCTCAGTCGCCRTAGCCAGTTTGAAGGGAACTCCTACCTGGTTACGATATCTTTGAGTACTGTGTGGGCGCATGTCGCCAGTTTGCTGTTTCGCTGTTTGCATGCATGACAAGTGT